CTGTATGAGCTCACACGGCATCCCCCTACCGCCCAGGCTGCGTGTATTCCCGTTCTTTTTTTTTTTTTGTTGTTTGTTTGTTGTTGTTGTTTTTTCGTTCCTCTTGGTTCTATTCGAATGACTTTCTTTTTGTTTCTGTTCTTTTTATTTTTTGGCGTGAAAGATTAAAATAAAAAGTGCTGCGTGGGCATCTTTCTTTATATATATATATATATATATATATATATCTTTGGTCACGCGCTTCTTCTAATATCCCTCGAAAAGTTTCTTGTTTGCATATATATATATATATATTCCTTCATGTCTCCTTGCATCGGCAGTCAATGTAAAAAAAAAAGCACTGCCTGTGCGGTGCGGCTAACCACCAAGCCTATTCCGCCTCCCGCGGTGCGCACTCCCCTTTGCTGTGACGGCTGCTGGGGACACTGTCGTCGTCGTCGATACCCGGCGGCGTCTCTGGCGGCGTAAGTGGATCCACGTGACGATGTGCCGACCTTCTCGAAGACCCCGGCGTCCCCCCCTCCTTGCCCTCCAGCTGATGCCCGTCTGGGGACTCCTGTGGCGAGCCCAAACGCTTTCGGCGCGACCCCTTTACGTGCGCTGGGAATGGCTTCTGTGGTGTATGTGGCAGCAACTGCTGTTCAGCTTCCTGTTCCTGTTGGCGTGGTGGCTGCTGTCCCTTCTCCGCTCCGCTCAGTGACGGCATCGACGCACTGAGAATCGTCTCCCCCGAAGGCAGATCCCCATCGGGCAGCGGCTGCGGGGCACGGGTGTCGTCAGTGCCTTGCTGGACGCCAGCAAAAGCAGGCACGTCACCATTGCGGTCACCGTACTTCACCAAATGTACAGGATAACTGGGGGCGTCGTAGACATCGTCTTCCTCCTCTTCCCCCTCCACCTCTGCACCGCCATTGTTGGTGTCGTCGTAGGCCTGGGCGTCGAGGACGGCGGCGAACGGCACCACGACGGCCTGCGGCAGCGGGGGCGGTGGTGCAATCTTCTCAAGTGCGATGTAGCTGTTGAACTCTGCGTCAACGATAGAGTGCCACTCCTCATCCTCCCAGTTTACAATACGCTGCCGCCGCACCGCCTCATTTTCAAGGGTAAAGCGGCGGTCGTCGTAGAAACGCTGCGTTGTCGTGTAGCTCATCTGGTCCGCACTCGACGAGAGTGAGCGCGCACCGGGTGAGTTGAACAACACTTGCTGCATGTTCCCAACCGTCACCTCCGGCTCCTGTATTATTATCTCTGCTGGTGCTGGTACTGGGGCTGTTGATGCTTCTTCACCCGGCGCGGACGGCACACGCACGGCGGTAAACATTGTCTCTTGCATCTCCAAAGGTGGGATCTCATCAGCGTCACTGAATTCGTACTCCAGATCTCGCTCCTTCTCGGCGATTCGCAACCGCTCAATTCCCTCCAAGAAGGCAACCCGCATGTTGTAGCGGTCGCGCGCCTCGTTCAGGGCAATTTGGTCACGGTCGTCACACTCGATGCCCTCCCACAAACTCCACCGCATCGAGTCTGTTGTGCCCTCCGACGACGGCGAGCGGCGAACGGTGTTTTCGGTTGTGGTGGCAAGAGTTATGGTGCGTTGCGAGTCACCCGCGGCACGGCCTCCACGGCCCAAACCAAGCAAGAACGGTCCACTGCGCGGCTGTGAGCCATCACCAACAGAGGCACTGTACACCGTCAATGGGTTAGAGTCGCCATCGAGCGAGAAAACAGGATCCTTCTGTAGTATCAGTTGCGCCTTCTTCTTCTGGTTGCAGTAGATAATCAACCATATCACGAGGAGGATCAGCAACAGTCCGAGAATGACGACGAGCACAATGATTGCGATGAGTGTGCCTTCGGTGAGTTTCCCGCCGGAGACTCCACTCGCATCACCACAAGGCTGGGCGCTCGGTCTCACATGGCCCAGAGTGGTGCAGTACGATCCGTCAGACCCGTCTATAGCGCACACGCTTAGGGATGTGGTCGACGGAATATCCTTCAGCATCTCCCTATCCATCGTCAGGCTGCATTGATCACCGTCCACATCCGTCACCCTCCCCACAACATTTCCGCGATCAGCAGAGTTGCAGCAGTCACCCTTGATGACTACAACAGATGCTCCCGAGGGTGCCGACCCCGGTAGCACGCATGAATTCAGTTTCGTCACACCGCAGCGTGGGACAGTCGCTGGAAGTGAGAAGGCCGATGTCACAAAGTGGAGTGCACCCGGCATAGGAATGCTGACAAGCGAGTTGTTAATCGGGGCAGACGCACACATGTAAACAGAAGCCATAGGCCTCTCAGCACTGATAGAAACACGCCTTGAGGAGGCGATGTTCCCCTTTCCCAAGGCACTCCAGGAGCCGTAGGTTTCCTCTCTTTCCAGACAGTTTCTGCTAGTGCTAAAGCCAGGGAGCAAACTCCCTGCCGTGAGATCGTCCAGTAGCATCACGACACCAGGTGTCCCAACGACGATGTCCGAACCACGAATGTTGTAGTAAACAGGGTTAAAAGCCTCAACCGTGGTAAGTGGCTTCAGTGGCAGTCCTGACCCTTCCGCTGTCATCGCACTTCTCGGAACCATGGAAGCGGCAGTAGCAGCAGCAGCACGATCAGAGAACGACTCCTTGCACAGTGTCCACAGTCCATCAGGGGGCAAACCTGCACCAGAGGTGAGCTTGAATGTGAAGTTTCCGCGCCCTTCCTCGTCCGTAGAGAACGGCGCCACAACATCATTGCCTCCGCATTTGGCGTCTCGCCGCATGTGGAACATTCCGTTCGGTGAGAGTGGGATGTATACCTCCACCTCAGCTCCCAGCACAAATTTCGAAGGGAAGATGACAGCTGTCGACTCCTCAATACCAGCAGCAACAGTGAGATTTCCAGCAGGGGTGCCCGCACACAGCCAGAAGGATTTGACGCCAAGTGCAATGGAATTGGTCGGCAGTATGATGCGGCCAGAGCCGGTAGAGTATGCCACCTCACTACCCATCAGAACACTCACACACGCGTCACTTGAGAGGTAAACACCACGAAAGGATGACACGTAAAATGGTGCCACCGAATTTTCTTTATCAGCTCCTGGAACCAGCGAGTAGAGCGGAGGTTGCCCACTTGTTGCCGGTACCTGCAACGTCGCGTGGAATGGGGCACCGCGAACTAACGCAGGATCCACCTTGGTTGCGCTGGGCGCGTTAATGACAAGAACCACTTCCACCGTCGTCGTCTCACTCTTGCCACTGTTGGTTACTGACACGCATACATACTTCAGCCCTGATACCCCTGTCAACAACAAGTTTGCGTGTGGAGGTGATTGGCTGAGGTCGGGCATATTTGCAACCTTGTTGTCACATGCTGCGGAGTGACTCAGGAATGTTTGTGTTGTTCCAGTCGGGTAATTCAGACGCAGCGTTGTTGGGATTGCAACGCCAGTATAGGAATTCAGTCGGCTCGGAATCGATTTCGGCGAGGCAATGAAGTTCGCCACGTGTAGGGTTGGGTCATCAGTGGTGAATACGTACCTGGGATCACCTTTCGCACTGACGCACACAAAGAATTTCAGTGTCTCATCATGCCGAGGCATTTGGCCATTCTCGCTCTGCACCAGATCCTTACAATCTGGCGTCCGCGACAGCGTGGGTTGCATAAGCACCTTGGTATCAATGCCGTAATCTGCCACCTTTTGCGCAGGTGGCACAGTGACGGGCAGAATCGCCCCTGCGTGGTCCGTGGTGCAGTTCCTGAGACGAATGAAATGCATCACACCACGGAACGCATATACACTTCCCCCATCAGTACTCTCGCAGTAGTGCACGGTTGTCAGATCCATGTTGTCATCGGTGCAGCCATCAACATGCAACTCTGAGATGTAGTCTTTGATCACCACTGGTTCCACGCTCATAACGTTACCCAAACAGTCGTCGGCGGCGGTGAGCTTCGCAACAACGTTCTCTTTCCACATACCGGAGCGCACCGTCATTGTGCGGTCAGCAATGATTGTCGCAGGATCCATGTACGGTAGGAGATCAAACGTCACTGCGGGTATTGCGTCATTTGGAGAGGCGCGCACACACAGCTGCACTCCGTTCGTGAATGGCTCCATTTTCCTCACGATTATCTCGCTTGTAGAAACGCCAACAGGGAATTCAAATGTCTCACTCTGCTCCGATGTTGCAGCGCAGGACAGACCTGGTGGCATCGTGGTAATAGTGATGGGGTTAGGTCGTGTGTTCATGTCGCCACCTTTCAGTGTCACATTAACAGCCTTATGCTGACGCACCTCATTGTCTGACAGTGTCACCACAAATGGATCCACCACAGAAACGAGGTTGTCTGCCGCGGCAGCGCCCTTCTTTTCCGCGTCTTCCTGACATAGCACATACTGTCCCACTATTGCACCTTGGAGAGGAACCAAGGGGCTCGTGTAGTAACGCTGCTTCGCCTGAGTGCAGACTGTTGACTCGATCGGACTGCTGCAGCTGGAGGTGGAGGTGGACGCGCACAGTACCAAGAACAATGAGCCATCACTCAGCATGGGATCCCCGGTAAGATTGTTCACTGACTCGCGTATAGCGTAGCGGGAGAGAGCCCTGAATTTCCCCATCACCACAGTACCGCCGTACACAAAGAATCTACTGTTCTCAACCTCCCACCCAACACACGCAACGAGTGTACCTGATTCGTTTGTCAAGAACGCCTCAGTTTTTCCGCTGGTGGTGTCAATAGCGCCTTCGCCATACATTGGAGGCGGTCCCGCTTCAGCACGTGCGCATGAATCTGCGCTGTTGGTGACGAAGAACCGCGTCGGCTTGAGGGCTGACAAAGATTCTCCGTCAAACTGAAGCTTGACGGGTAGGCCGACCACACCAGATGAAGGATCTGTGGTAATGCTCAGAGGTGATACCGACGTGATCTCGGCAGCAGGTTCGAAAGCAGTCCCTGAACTTCCCAAACAGATTGTCCACGTTGAGACTTCAGACGGTTTAAAGATAATGAACGCGTGTCCCTCGCTTGGGATAATTACTGGCATCGCCGATCCCACTGAATTTGAGCACGGCACCGAAGATCCACGCACCAGAAAAGCCTGGAAGCCGGTAAGGGAAACTTTGTCTGGCACGAGAAGGTTCACACGGTTCGGCTGCGCTGCAATCATCGCCTGTGGAAGCACCTTGACACGCGCAACAGGCAACTGGGCAACTGGCGTCAGAATGAAGGGCCTCTTATCGTCACTTCCGCGGTAACCCACGCAAACAGTCAGGTTTTTCTCGCTTGTGTAAAGCACCTGCAGGTTCGCTACACCCTTTTTATCTGCAGTACCCTCTGCCACGAAGGAGGAGGAGTTACAGTCATCAGACTCCACAACACGAACGGGTGCTGTAGGTGGACTGAGAGACACAGACACTTTCGTGGAGGCACCAACCACAACAGAGGCTGGAGTCATCTTTATCGGTCCATGAACCACGACATGACCAATGCGAGCGAAAGATGAACTTGGAGGAGCTGCAGCGGATGCTGACGGTGTATCCGGTAGTTTCACGCACAGCCCGTAAGTCCCAGCATCTGCAAATCCAACATCACTCAAGGTGGATACATTCATTGAAAATTTATTTCCAACCGTTTCGGTGCAGCCGCCCTTAGCGAAAACACCCTCCGTACCTGCGTCAAAGCGCACCTCTGAGTCCAGTATGATATCTCCTTTCTTCCCTGCAAACAATGGTCCGTAGCTCATGGTGTATTCTCGCGTTGGGACAGTGCCAAGAGGGTATAAATAGCCTCTGTCCCCTTCCTCACCCTCTGCCGGTGCCGTGTTGGAGAGCGGCGTAGACACACAGAGCGACATCGTCGCGAGTGCATCCTCAGGCATGCGGAAAGTGGCAGTGTTACCCGTCTCCGTTGTGGTGCCTCTGGCAACAATCTGTGAACAATTCGACGTCATCGAGGCACCTACGGTAATAATGCCTCTATTAGCTGCCCCACGGTCACTGAGTGTCACTGTAACATCAAGTCCCTTTATAGCAGGTGACCGCGACAAGGAACAGATTGGTGTATCCACAACTGTGATGTTTGCTGCTAACGCAGTTGGCCCTGTTGAGCCACCTTTGTTCACGCATGCATAGTAAATGCCGGATGATGTCACAGTCCACTTTCTCGACGCACTCCATGGGATGACGGGATTCCCCTGACACTCAGGTGAACGGAAGAGTGCGGCGCTCATACCGGCGGTACCCTCGGAGGTTACCGCATCCAAGGTGGGTGTCATGATGGTTTCTTCGTTGGTGTACATAGTGTGTGGCTGCAACCCGTATTCACTAACAGCAACCATGTTTTTTGAGGGTACAAACAATTGCTTTTCCTTGTAATACGGCCATCCAGCACACATGTAGTATTTCCCTTTCGGCACACGGATGGGCAATTCCACGTTCTGCAGCACGTATCCGCGCACTGGCTCCTGTAGAATAGGCTCACAGACAGCGGATCGAGCAAAGCTGGCGAAGGGAATCTGACCGAACGGCTCCAAGCTGAAAGAATCCACTGTGTTCCGAATAGTCTGTGTATTGTTCACTGAAAAGGGTTGGACAACGAGCAATGTCGCCGCAGGCACATTCAGCTTCGACGCTCCTCCTTGAATTGGTACTCGGGCACAAAGTCGTACGACGCCAGCTGAGGTGATGCTTAGGCTTATCTTGCGGTCTTCATCCAGTGAAACGGGCGATTGACCATCAATACTCTTTGTGCAAGACTCGTCGCTGGAAAAACTTATCACGGTCCCTACTGGCGTAGCGTTACCAATGGTAACAACAAACGGGCCCCCTGGGAACACAAAACGAGGAACGGCATCTATGACGCTCAGTTGAAGCGTTTGAATAGGCCCCTTGGGAATGGAAGAGGAACACAAATATAGTATTGGCACCTCATTGTCATACCGAGCGTTTACGCCCACACTCCCAGCGGTGACGGTGAAATCACAGGCACGATTTGTTGGGAGAATGCATATCTGTCCCGTGGCCTCTTTTACATCGCATGTCGAAGAGCGTGACACATACAGGTTCTTCCCCACCTCGAGGAATGCAGCGGTAACGCGAAAGGGGACATTCAAAAGCGGCACGGGTGGCTCTACAACTGCATTTGCTGCAGCGGCCTCCAAGAAGACAAACGAAGATGCGGTTGTACAGAGTGCCACCAACCAAAAAGCCATCATGGCCAGATGGCGTTTTGTGCGACACAACAGCATCTTGTTATAGCAATTCAGTCAAGTTCCCGTGAGGGGGGGGNGGGGGGGGGGGGGAACCGAACTGTAGCTTTTTCTCTTTGACTTTATTTCTCCCCCTCAGAAGGAGTTCAATAAAAAAAAAGATTTTGTGCCTCTATTCTGATGTATCGGTGTTTTTTTTTTCTTTCTTCTCTTCTTATCCCAGAGCCTATATCTAAACTTATGTCGAGATGGGGTTGTATTGTTCTGTCCTAATTCTAGCAGTGACAAAAGCAGCTTCCGTATACGTAATGGTAGCTAACCCTCTATATTCCTTGGCGGAGCCAACCACTCTTGATGGACGAAGGATTCTCTATCTAATCAGGAGCCTAAAAGTGATTGTGAATCTTTTACTTCGCTTCCCGTCCGCTGCTAATTCTATCTTTTTAAACCTTTTTGGACAATCGAGAGAGGTGGGGGGAAAAAAGACTTAGTAGTGAGTAATTAAGCAACAACATGAGAGATAAGGCGACTACAGAGTCCTGTGGAGCGGCTCTGCGCGGCACGAGGCCCCCCGCACGGCTGCTTCCTACACCATGCCGGCAGGGGGAGTGNAGTGACGGTGGTGGCCCGGGTGGCGGTGGACCGACGTTGTTGCCTGAGCTTCTGGTACCCAGTGAGCTCAACTGCCCATGCTGCCGTACTGGAGGCGGCGGCCAAAGGCGACTACAGAGTCCTGTGGAGCGGCTCTGCGCGGCACGAGGCCCCCCGCACGGCTGCTTCCTACACCATGCCGGCAGGGGGAGTGCGTCAACTAGAAGGGGGAAGAAGCGAACGAAGACAATAGGGCACCGACAAGCCTTCCCTGCCAACAGCACAAGTACCTTGTCATAGATGGTCGCATATTACTGGCAAGTTATGGCATTACTCTCTGGGCATTGTTTCCTTTTAAATCTCTGCCACACTTCAACAGTTTCCCCGTCTTCGTCGTCTCTTCTTTAGTCGCCCCATTGCGTGCACCCACCCAAAGGTCTGGGCGAGACGGCAGGGAATGAAAAATAAAACAAAGTTAGGGAATACACAAAACAACGGGAAACAAGTCACCCACAGTGAAGAAAGAAAGAACAAAAAAACAATAGAAAAACCACTCACAGAAGCATTAATAATAATGACACATTTTCGCTGGAAAGCGTTGATATAAAACGACAATGAAGATGCCATCACGTGGAGGTGCCGGCGCCGCAGTCTTCTCAGAGAAAGACCGCCCGCACCACATGCACATTCCGATCAGAATACGAAGGAAAGTACGACAACGACAATCTCCAATACAAGAGCAACAAACGTCAGCGAATACCCCAAGCCCAACCACAACAAATCGCGATTGGTAAGGTCAACAACCACTGCATTCCCAGAGGACTCAAACTCAAACTTACAACTCTTCCGGTTGTACACAACAAGAACAGTAAACCATACAAGAAGAACACTAATGACACAGAGGATCGCAGCTATCCGTGACGCCCAATTCGCCCAACCATACCTTACACTCATGATGAAGAGGAGAAGAACAGCGACAGAGAGAACACTTGATATGATTGAAAATGCTGCCGCAACCTGGAACAATCTTCTCTCTATATTACACGGAAACCGGCTTATTGAGGAGCCAGACTCTCCACACTTACCGGAAGCCCACAAAGTAAAGCAGTATTCAAGACCTCTATCGCCGTCACGCAGAAAGATCTTCGTCAGCGGCATGCTGACCACCATAAGACCGAGGACGGCAACCTGCACTGCAATGGTGATAAGAGAAAAACCGAGCTGCATAATTCCTTTTTAGACACTTTTCCTGAGCGATAGGCTTTATACTACCGAAAGACACATCACAGCGAGGAATGGAATAATATGCACG